TTTTTTTAAGATTATTTATTTATTTGAGAGGTAAAGTTACAGACAATGAGAGGGAGGACAGAGAGAAAGGTCTTCCTTCCATTGGCTCACTCCCCAAATGGCTGCAACGGTTGGAGCTGAGCCAGTCCAAAGCTAGGAGCCAGGTGCTTCTTCCTGGCCTCCCATGCGGGTGCAGAGGCCCAAGCACTTGGGCCATCTTCTACTGCTTTTCCAGGCCATAGCAGAGAACTGGATTGGAAGAGGAGCAGCCAGGACCAGAACCGGTGCCCATATGGGATGCCGGCGCCACAGGTGGAGGATTAACTTACTATGCCACGGCACTAGCCCCTCTAGTTCCCTGTTTAATGGTTGTGAACTTTTCAATATTTTACAATTATGTAAAATTACATAAAACATAATGAACATTTGCTAATTTTGTTTTAGTATTAGTTCTCTTTATCTGCTTAAGAAACTATTTCTTTTTTTTATAAATATTTTATTTAAGACCAACAAAACTATTTCTTATAGTGAACATGCTTTTAAATTTATCAGATGCTTTCTTCATCTATTAATATGATTGTTATTTTTCTTGTGCATTGTATTACTTTGATGGGTGAATTTTTTCTTCCTGAAATCTCATTGCTAAGATAAATTGATCAAGATACACTGTGATCATTTTTTTCTAAAGAAAGGTTCAGATCAATTTATGAATATAATGTTAATATAGGTTTTTAATATTAGTTTAATAAGAACATGTAGATTCCTGATTTCTCTCTTTTTGAAAATAATGTAATTTTCTTCCATTTAGCACAAGCCCACCTTACTGCTGTGTGGATCTATATTCTCTTCGTACTGGGGAGATGGTGAAGTCCATTCAGTTTAAAACACCCATTTATGATCTCCACTGCAACAAGCGGTAAGCATTTTTTTCTGTTTCTTATAAAAGGTAACTATCTCCTTGGCATGGAGAGCTCTACCAGCTTCATTGATTAGTTTAGATTTACTTAGGAAGTAATTGGAAGGGAACATCTTATAAATTCTGCCCATGAAATAGCCGTAAGATTTCTTGATGAATGTATTCTTTTTTTTTTCCAAAGATTTATTTATTTATTTGAAAGTCAGAGTTACACAGAGAGAGAAGGACGGCAGAGAGAGAGAGAGAGAGGTCTTCCATCCGATGGTTCACTCCCCAGATGGCCGCAGCAGTCGGAGCTGCGCCGATCTGAAGCCAGGAGCCAGGAGCCAGGAGCTTCTTCCTGGTCTCCCACGCAGGTGCAGGGGCCCAAGGACTTGGGCCATCTTCTACTGCTGTCCCAGGCCACAGCAGAGAGCTGAATCAGAAGTGGAGCAGCCAGGACTAGACCCAGTGCCCATATGGGATGTCGGTGCTTCAAGCCAGGGCGTTTTACTCACTGTGCTACAGCACTGGCCCCAGTGAATGTATTCTTGACCTATTAGAGAAATAGGAATGCAGTACTGTGGGATTTTTATTATAATAGAATATTGTAATTTTTAAGAAAAGATTTATTTTATTTTATTTTTTTTGAAAGGTAGAGTTAGAGGGAGAGACAGAGAGGTCTTCTATCTGCTGGTTCACTCCCCAATTGGCTGAAATGGCTGGGGTTGGGCCAGGCTGAAGCAAGGAGCCAAGAGTTTCTTCTGGATCTCCTATGTGGTTTCAGGGACCCAAGCGCTTGGGCCATCCTCCACTGCACTCCCAGGTGCATTAGTTGGGAGCTGAAATGAAAGTAGAGTAGCTGGGACACCATCCGGCACCCAAATGGGATGCTGAAACTGCTGGCAGTGGTTTAACCCTCCTGCGGGCCCCAAAATATTTTAATTAAAAATTTTTTTTATCTGTGTGGGGCAACAGAGTTACGAGCGCACTAAAGGATTGGGATTACTTGAAAAATTTGATTTTATAGTGGTTCCAGCTGCTTTCTGCCCATGTAGTTTGTCTGCTCTTCCATCTTTTTGAATGAGTTAACTTTCTCTACTCTTGCAGCTGTATACATACACATGTACCTGTTAAATCTCACCCTTCTCACTTATCCATTCAAATTGTTTTATTCTGACTTCACACTTCCCTCCAGGTAACTATCCCAAATTTCTTCAATTGTCAGCCTTCATGTGTCCCTACAATTATACTCATGCACTCTCTTCAAGGTTATATTGACCTTTGAGTTTCTCATTTATATTGATTAGTTTTGAGGTCTCATCCTATTGTGGTATTTTCAATGTCTCATTCACTAAATATTTATTAAATTGCTTCTGTATACCTGAGACTAATTTCAACCTTATGAATTTAGCAGTGAACAGAACCAGGTTCCCTTATCAATGAAGAAGATTTGGAGTACTCCCATTTTGCTTGTCTTTTTCTTTTCAATTTCTTCTTCCGAATGCATCTATGCATTCTATATATATACTGCATTAGTACCAATTAATTTATAGATGACCTATAAATTTTCATTGCTAATGGTGATTCTGTCCTTTATTTAATAGTTGTGTTTTGATACCTATAAGAAATCTCAAATTTGACTTTTCTGAGAAGGAAATCTTATTAAACTACTACTACTGTTATTTTGTCTATTTTAATAAATAAATATTTCACTTGGCAATTTGTTTGGAGCCATTTGAGATTCACTTTCATACATTCTACCCTTTTTTACATATACAATATCCTTGGTTTTTACAATTTTTACAACAGTTTGAGATTCTCACCAACAAATTTAGCCTTATCTAGCACCCCCCAAAAAAACCCCGTATTCATTAATTTTTTCTTGTCTTCTGGCAACCACTGATGTATTTTCTATTATAGCAGTTGGCCATATTCTGGGTATTTTACAGAAATGTAATACATTGCGTACATTGGTCTTGGTGACTGGCTTCCTTCACTTACCATAATATTTGATTTGTTAACTGTTGCATGAATCAATACTAAATTTATTTTTATGACTGAATATTAGTCTGTTATGGTTATACAACATTTTGTTATCCATTCATCAGCTTATTATCCATTCTTGTGGTTTGTGTTTTCATTTTCTTTTTAAAGATTTATTTATTTATTTGAGAGGCAGAGTTACAGAGAGAGAGGAAAGGCAGAGAGAGATCTTCCATCTGCTGGATCACTCCCTAGATGGCTGCAATGGCCAGAGCTGGGCCAGATCGAAGCCAGGAGCCCGGAGCTTCTTCTGGGGCCCCACGTGGGTGCAGGAGCCCAAATATTGGGCCATCCTGCACTGCTCTCCCAGGTGCATTGGCAGGGAGCTGGATTGGGAGTGAAGCAGCTGGGACTCGAACTGGCATCCATATGGGATACCAGCAGTGCATACAGTGGCTTTACCCACTGTGCCACAGTGCCAGGCCCCATGTTTTCATTTTCTTAATGATCAATGATCTCATGTCATTTCATGTGTTCATTGGTCACTCATTTTTATTCTTGAAAAATGTCTATTTAGATTGCTAGATTATTTGCCTCTTTATTATTGAATTGAGTAGTAATTCTTAATTTTAGATAACAGTTTCTTAATACATTTATAGTTTACCAAACTTTTAATTTTTTAAAAAGATATATTTATTTTAAAAGTCAAAGTTACAGGAGGAGAGAGAGCGAGTGAGCGAGAGAGAGAAAAAAGGAGAGAGAGAGGGAGGAGAGATCTTCTATCCACTGGTTTATTCCCCAGATGGCCCCAACTTTCAGTGCTGGGTCAAGCTGAAGGCAGGAGCCAGGAGCTCTTTCCAGGTCTCCCATATACTTGAGCCATTATTTTTTTTTTTTTAAAGATTTATTTATTTACTTTGAAAGTCAGAGTTACACACAGAGAGAAGGAGAGGCAGAGAGAGAGGAAGAGGGAGAGAGCAAAGCCAGGAGCCAGGAGCTTCTTCTGGGTCTCCCACGTAGGTGCAGGGGCCTAAGAACTTGGGCCATCTTCTACTGCTTTTCCAGGCCACAGCAGAGAGCTGGATTGGAAGTGGAACAGCTGGGTCTCAAATCGGCACCCATGTGGGATACTGGCACTGCGGGAGGCAGCTTTACCTGCTATGCCTCAGCACCAGCCCCTTGAGCTGTTATTTGCTACTTTTCCTAGGGCATTAGTAGGGAGCTGGATAAGAAGTGGAGCAGCTGGGACATTACCAGAACTCATATGGGATGCTGGTGTCATAGTGTTGGCTTTACCTACTACATCATAACGCCAGTCCATTTGCCAAACTTTGTAAAGATTCTGTGGGTTGGGACTGGCACTGTGGAGCAGCATCCCATTTTGGGTGCCAGTTCAAGTCCCAGCTGCTCCACTTCTGATCCAGCTCTCTGATAATGTGCCTGGGAAAGCAACAGAAGATGGACCATGGGGTCAGGGTCAGTGCTGTGCGTAGCGGGTTAATGCCCTGGCCTAAAGCTCCAGCATCCCATGTGGGCGCCAGTTCGAGACCCGGCTGCTCCACTTCTGATCCAGCTCTCTGCTATGGCCTGGGAAAGCAGTAGAAGATGGTCCAAGTCCTTGGGCCCCTGCACCCGCGTGGGAGACCTAGAAGAAGCTCCTGGCTTTGGCCTGGCCCAGGGCTGGCCATTGTGGCCATTTGTGGAGTGAACCAGTGGATGAAAGATCTCTCTCTCTCTCTCTCTCTCTCTCTCTCTCTCTCTCTCTCTCTGTCTTTCCCTTTCTCTCTATAACTCTGCCTTTCAAATAAAGATAAATCTTAAAAATATTCTGTGGATAATTTTTTTAACATTCTTCATGATGTCCTCTGAAGCACAAAGTTTATAAATTTTTATGACGTCCAGTTTTGCAGATCTTTTCCTTTCTTATTTGCACTTCTGATATCATATGCAAGAAACCATTGTTATAATCCAAGATTATTAAACTTTATATCTGTTTTTTTCTAAGAATTTTATTATTCAGCCCTACATTTAGGTTCTTTCACATCCTCTTGTGTCTTCTGTCTTTTCTACCTACCTATAATCCAATGCATTGGCAATTCCACCTTTGAATTCTACCATAATCTAATTATTTCACACTGTAATCACTGTTACACCTTGTGCAATAAAACCACTGTGGATTATTGCAGTAATCTTCAGATTCTTTCCTCCATTTGCCTTCTGCATACATCATGTGGATTTTTCCTTCTCTCTAGACCTTTGTATATGACTGCAATTTAGTTTGCTATAAGGTGGTATTACAGATTTGTGGGTAAGGATAGGCATTTGGAACAATGGTTAATGTATTTCTTGGGATTCTCACATCCCAAATTGGAGTGCCTGGGTTCAGGTCCTGGCTCTGCCTGCTATTCCAGCTTCCTGTCTGTGCACCCTGGGAAGCAGTAGGTGATATAGATCAAGTAGTTGAGTCCCTGCACATGTATGGAAGACTCAGATTGAGTTCTGGGCTCCTGACTTTGGGGTAGCCCAGTCTTGGTTGTTATGGTGGACATTTGGAGAGTGAGCCAGCAAATTAAAGATCTTTCTCTATCTCTGTGTCTCTGTATCTTTCTACTTGCCTTTCAAATAAAATAAAAATAAAGAAGTTTCAAATTTTTAGTGAAAATACACTGTTCAGTACATGGTTTTAGAGCTGTAGGGCTCATCAGGTGAATTAAATCACTTAGTTGGTAATAAAACAGATTTTCTTTTTAACGGATCTCCTATTTAACGATTCTGTGAATGTTATCTTCCTTTAAAATGCTGGTATTAATAACTTAATAGTCTTTTTGGTTGAATGCGTTTGTGATTCTTCATGAAAGAATGAATAGATGTAATGTGAAAATTTGAATAAACAAAAGAAGACCATTTTTTATGTAGTGGGAAGTTCATTATGCCAAAGTTGTCAGTATTTGACCAAAATTATGTGACTGTATAATCAAGATTACCACAATAGTGCACTAATTTCTAAGGTCTGATAAAGACAGAAATGATGGACAAGAGTACCAATTCAGTAGAGTCTCTCTCTTGCTGTCTCGCTGCCCCCCCATACATACATACATACATACATACCCATACGTGGACGCATATGCTCACATGAACACATTTATGGACACCTGATTTATATTAAACTTGTTACTGCATGCAAATCTGTTCTTCAATAAGTCTGGTTTAGTCACTTGGGTGTTTGTACATTTATATAGAAAAAAACAAATTTTGATTCATACCAATCAGTTCCAGATGAACTGTAGGTCTAAACATGAAAGAAAATACCATTTATTTGTAGGAACATTACAGTTCATTCTATATTTGCAAGACTGTTCAGGTTTTAAAATTATTTCTGCCAGCAATTTTGATAGTTTTTGTCCTTGTAGACATTTGATCATTAGGCTCTGTAACTATTGGAGTGAAGTTGCTTACAGTATTCAAATGTTACCAGTTTAATGACTATAGACTTTGTAATACTATATATAGTTCTCTTTTTTGATCAATCTAGCTAGATATCTAATTTTGGTTATGTTTTATTTTTGGCATATATGTTGTATGTGTTTGTGTACCTGTATGTACTTATATCATGTATATGTTTTCCCTCATTCTCATAATTTCTTCTATAAACAAAGACAATTTAAAACTAGGAGACTGTCAGACAGGATAACAAACTGTTATATGTAGACCAAAAATGATAAAATATAAATTGCATAAAACTTATAAAGAAAGAATGCCTGCCATGGAAACAGTAACCATAAAAGATGGATTTGATAAGATTATTATTATTAGGCAAAATAAATATTAAAAATAGGAACAAAGGATCATTCGTTTCAATAAAGCAAGTCACATAGCAGGAAACTATAAATGGGTGTGCACTCAATAGTAGAAACTCACAAGATTTAAGGGTGATATAATAATACAATGAACATCTTATGTTTTGTGAAACAAAAAAAGAAAATTTAGATCAATCACCATCATGAACACATGGGAAAATCAAATCCAGGAACATATACACAGGCTTATAAATGACACATGGAGGTCATTCTAGCATACAAGAATTGTTTCATTCTGGGGAATCAACCCTTTTATTTTCTTCTTTTTTTCTAACTACTGGTGTACTAACCCAGGCCCTCACCATGGAGCTGACAGCATCTGAGTTCTGAGCAGCACAGGTGAAGGTGACATATATGATCATTGGAATCAAGTGCAATTACTCCCTTCTCACTGGGTACCCTATTTTTTTTTTTAAGATTTATTTATAGATTTAAATTCAGAGTTCTGGAGAGTGGATGATGAGGAAGAGGGAGAGACGGGGGGCAGGGAGAGAGAAAGAAAGAGGGAGAGAAAGAAAGAAAAAGAGAGAGAGGAGAAGATATACTTTCCATCCTCTGGTTCACTCCTCAGATGGCCACAATGGCCAGGGCTAAGCCAGGCAGTTGGATTCAAAGTGGAACAGCTGGGACTTGAACCAGCACTTGTATGGGATGCTGGTGTCACAGGTGGGGACTTTTTCCTGATACACCACAACACTGGTCCCGAGTCAACCTTTTAACACACTGAAAACGAAATACATAATCATCTTAATACTGAACTCACTAAATTGAATGCCCAGTTACATAATCAACACCAAAAACTGTCAGCAAATTAACACAGAAACTCCCTAAACTTAATAAACAACATGTATCATGCCATCTGTTTGGTTCAGTTTACTCTTAATAATAGTACATATTTTCTTTTTGCATGTTTTATTTTTGACGTGTTATGTCTAACATTGTTTGTAAAGGAACAGTAAAAACCTTGGTAAATACAGTTGATTTATGGATTTGCCATTTGTACTTCTGTAATGGTAAATGAAGTGTGTCTTGAAGTGAAGCATTGTGTAGGGGAGATGGATTTGTGCTTTGTTGTAGTAAGTGGATAGGAAGGGAGTTTATTGTTGTTGGATGTTTCTAAACCATCATGTGATTTCCTTTATTGGAGTAACATTATCTCTCTCTTTTTTTTTAAGATTTAGTTATTTATTTTTTTGAAAGGCAGAGTTACAGAGAGGCAGTGGCAGAGAGAGAGAGAGAGAGAGAGAGAGAGAGAGACACCTTACACCTATTGGTTCACTCCCTAAATGGCCGGAGTTGAGCTGATATGAAGCCAGGAGTCAGGAGTCTCTTCTGGGACTCCCAAGTGGGTGCGGGGGCCCAAGGACTTGGGCCATCTTCCCCTGATTTCCCTGGTCATAGCAGAGAGCTGGATTGGAAGTAGAGCAGCCAGGGCTCGAACCGGCGCCCATAGGGGATGCCAGCACTGCAGGAGGTGGCTTTACCTGCTATGCCACAGTGCTGGCCCCACAGTACCTCTTTAGTTACACAACATACACATACACACATGTAGAGAATTATCATTTAATAATGACAGATAACCTAGTTAACAGAGAAAAAAATCTTTACAGACTCATCCAAAATAGGTAAAAAAAAAACCAATGCAGCAGAATAGTATGCCAACATTGCTATTGTTCTGCATCTGCAAGGGAAGTTGTTCCATTTTAACAAATGGATAAAATGAATAAAGCATGCATATTATATAACACCTTTCCCCAACCCATTATTAGTGTCTGGTGCTCATAGTAGTATGTTAAATATTTAAGAACAACTCAAACTTTTTACTTGACTTTTTGCAGTTAAAATTAATATCCTACAAGTAGCAGTATACTATGAATTAGATTTCTAAATGATCTTTGATATTATTTATAGATCTTTGAATCTGCAAAAAGTACTGTTTATACAAGTCATCATTTTAATATATTGAATCAGTAAGAAATGAATTATTTTTTATGAAGTCCCCATTTTACTTAGTTTTCTTAATCTATTTTGGGTTATTCAGCAGTTTTAAGTGACAGATTATACAAATTTATTTTATGTTTAATTCCACGGCTTTGAAACACTACTGGAAAAACAGTTTTTGAACATATAGTTCGTATCATGATCTTATCCATTCCTATTGTAGATTTCTTCAATTTAAATTGGATGAAAATAGAACTTTAAGAGAAAGTGTGTAAAGTGGTGGCTAGTTTTTTTGCTTTTCTTCTGGTCATCTCTTATCTTGTTTATTAAAGAATTTTATTGTTTATATATTTACGTTATAAGAGGAAGGTAATCTAGGATAAATGTTATATGAAGTGTTTTATTTTTAAATGTAGATAATTTAACTTATTCATAGAATTTCACATTTACTTTTATTTTTTCTTTTTGGTTATTTTCTGTAATTTTAGGATCCTCGTCGTAGTCTTACAGGAGAAAATTGCTGCCTTTGATAGCTGCACTTTCACAAAAAAATTTTTTGTCACAAGTATGTACCAAATTGTTTTATTTCCTGTCATATGCATTTAAGTTTATGCTACTTACTTGATACAATCAGCAAATTAATTGTAATTATGGCATTAGTATTTTATGGGTTTTCACTCATCATGATCTTTGCGATTCTGTGGATATCCTCATTTGTTGGTGTATAATTGTATGATATATATGTTTTAACTTTCCACCCTATTTTCTTGATATTACTGAGCAGTCTGTTCTGTATTGATGCAGTTTCTTCCTACACATTTTTATTGAGTGGGTGTGATTAACTTATTTTTGTATCACTATTATGGTTTCACAGGAGTTGAGACTTTGCAAGCAATTATTTAGATTTCATAATTAGCTTACCATAAGTGAAGAGGTAACTGTTATCTTATATGAAGGATTTGAACATCAGAAGAGTCTGAATCTTGCTTTCCTTCCTTCTTTCCCCACCCCCACAACTTCTACCTGTCAGAAAGTTCAGATGTTTACTTAAATCTGTATATTAAGCAGAGTATAGTAGAAATTATTCATTTCAAAGAAGTGTTAGTTTTGTTGATGTAATTAATATAGAAGTGTGTGGCAAAGGGAATTAAAATATTTTTATTGTGGTGAAGAATTTTTTTGACCTACATATATAAGGAAACTTATGGGAAATGTGTTTTATCAAAGAATTATGCATGTCTTAAAAACTTTTTCTCCAGAATAAACTTATCCTAATTCTCTTTCCATAAATTTTTTGCAGTGCTCTCGTAAAATTACATACATTAATTACTATATATTCACTATAATATAACTTATTATAATACTTTGCTTAACATTTTGTAGACCATGAAAGACCAGGAATGCTCATTCCCTCCAGTGTGTATCTGTCTCTCTCCAAGTTATAAAACTGTAGTGCATTCATACGTTACATCATATTTGTAATTATCTTTATAATCACTTGGGAAATTGAACCTATCTAAGGAACCACGTACGAGTATTTCTGAGTCTCCCAATTATGTGAATATAGAGCAGTGAATCAGTACGTAGTGGGAACAGCAACCCATTGAGATGTAGGATTTTCCCGAGCGTTTAGCTTTGCATGTTGTCAGTAATGTCTTGCAACTCTTGTTAAGAGAACATGTGTGTCTCCTGCCTATGCAACATTAGTTGTCTCTGTTGCCACTGCATTTTCACTTTAAAAGTCAAATATGGGAGTATATATTGGTGGCAATTGTTCCCTTTTAATGTAGGGAACATATAGATACCTTGGTTTTGTTATTTAAGCAAACAAAGATATCTTGCTACCTCCGTGAACGTTAAATTAGGAAAAATATCCAAATGTAATTTTTAATGCAAAGTAATATGTTACATTTGTCAGTCATGTAAGTTTCTTTCTTTGTAGTAAATGAAAGGGCAAAAAGTCAGTTCTAGCAGAAACCAAAAAGAAGTTCACAAGTAAGTTAATGATGGAGATATTTATCTATAGAGAATATGTATATTATAGTTTTTTAGTAGATAAGTAAAAAAATATATCTCTAGTAATTATCCAGTTCAGAATTTTAAAAGAAGTTGTACGTTTCAGTACAGAAGTGTCATTTAAGATATTTAGAGTTGTATATTAGCTTTATAGGAAAATTTGAAATAATTTCATACATTACAATGAAAATATACCTTTCATAATACTGTATGACAATAGTACTTTTTTAAAGCTTAGAATAGTCTACTAACTTTTTGAATTAAATGATATAGATAATAGCTTCTGTTTTATATATTAGTTTCTACATTTGAGTGGGATTTGTTGCTACTAACATTTGTATCTGTCATTTCACCAATTTGCTTTGGAAAATGTCTGTGTGTAAGTAGAAAAAGTAATTAATTCCCCCATGTACTTATCATCTAGTTTTAGTAATTATTACATCATGGACATTCTTCCCAGTTATTTCTTACCCAGTTATTTTGAGGCATGTATCAGACATTGAATAATTTAGCTTGTTACGGATTTTTAAATCTATTTGATGTGGATCTCTTAGAATTGGAAATGTTTATTACTTACAGGTTTACATGGAGTAGTAAATGAAAGTACAGCTTTGTGCAGATAAATGATGGAAATGAGTGTAACAAACTTTGCATTTAATACCAGTGTTGTCTTTGAAGGGCTGGTTTTCTTAGTTTTGGTATTGTCAGAAATCATGACAGTGTGTGTCCTAAGGCGAGTCATGATTCGATAGGAGTATTAAGTCAGGGCTTTTGGGAGACTGTAATGTTCTTTTTTTGAGTCTGGTGGTTGTTTATGTGAGCATATATTCACCTTGTTTATTTGGATACTTCATATTTTATATTAAACGAAAGTTCAGAATACAAGAACAAAAGTTTATGCATATGATTTTAGGTTGGTAATATTGGTGGTGTTTGAAAACTATTTGAAGAAATTTAGTTGTTTTCTTCAATTGTTTTATATCAACCCTTAGAAAAAATTCAGTGTGATTTAGTTTTGAAAATTTAGGAACAAAGATGCCATTTCATAAGTTGAAAGAAACAGTTTTTTCCTCCTATTTCTGCATCTCTGCCTCCTTCTACCCCATTGTTCGCTTACTCAGAAACTTCGGGCAGATAGGAAGAGGCGTGGTATAGGTGAAACATATACATACGATGGGTTTCAAAATTGATTTTGTCTGTTGTGGTGGAATGAGAAGGCCGTGCCAAGATATAGGATATTGGGATTTGAAGACAGGGAAGCTGCTGGGATAGGGAATACTGAGATAGCACTTGTGGATTCCTATTTGCCAGTGATATCTAGTTTTTCTCCCATTGATTGGTACCTGATCTTTAAAGATGTAGGATCAGACCCCAGATTAAATGACAAGATCTCTTAATTACAGTGCTATGTTGATTGTGCAAATGTTGATCTTTGAAGAGTTCTTTTTAATAAGTTCTTATTTGAGCATGTTAGTTATTTATGAATAGAATGAAGGGGGTGTAAAATAAGTAGAGGCAGCTCTGTCCATCAGAACAAGCCTAATGGGAACTTGTGCCAAAGAGTGGAAGGAACAGTCAAAAGAACTGATAGAGAACTGGTAATGGATCACATCCAATATGATGAGAAAGGAGACTTCTTTGTATTTGAATGTAAATAAAAGTAGCTTTGAGCAGCTGTCTGATGTGGAAATCTAACACCCAGGTATGATTAGGAAAACAAAAGACAGAGACTGATGGATGTCATTACCAGTCATTTTGAGTGTCCTTAAATTGAAAGGTAGATAGGAAGTCTCCAGGGAGTCCAAAGAAGTGTTCAGTACATGTTCTAATTTCCATTGGATACTGTGGTTACTTAGAGGTGGAAAAATTATTCTTTAGAATCTTAATGTTATTACTTTGTGTAGTATGCATCTTCTTCGTTTATTTTAATGATGAATTACCAATGGAGCAAATAGAAATAAATTTAAAGTAGCTTCAATGTGCAAAATTATTTTCAATTTTAGAAAGAGAAGCTTTATCTTTTATGTTAAGATGTAAGTCTGTAAACATTTATGAAAAGTTGGGTGTGGTGGATCTCAACTTTTTAGCAGAAGGGAGGGTAAGATCACTTCGTTCGGCATAATCACACCCTCACCTCCTCTCTTCCAAGGTGATCAGTGCCCAGCTGTTAGTACCATACTCATCCATGCTGCTTGTGAACCACAGAGTGGTGAGAGCATGGATCCCGTTGCAGTGACCTACCCTAGGTAGTCAGGGAGCTCTGAGCTTGTGGAGCCACTCATATTGATTTCCTAGTGACCCAGCTACACCCTGCACCCTCTAGTTCAGTGACAGAGTTCCCCACAGTCTCAGTACAAAGGCTCCCACAGTTACAGGGTACAGAGGATCTGCTCTGCCCTGCTAGCCTGTCAAGTCCACAGAGAGGCCGGGTTCTCAGAGCTCCTTCTGGGTGCTCTGCTAGGCGGTTTGAGCCCTGGAGCCTGTGATACAATGAAGTGCTGGGGCAACCTCACAGTCCTACTTGAGTTCTGGCCCCCTGTCCATCTTCCCAGCTAGGCCAAAAATCAGCGGGGAACATGGAATTTTTCTCTCTGGTGGAATCTCTGTATCACACATGTACACTCTTAAGAGCCACTGGCAACAGCCACCACTCGTTTCTCAGTGGTGCCTTCTCCTTGCTAATTGCCAGGTGCATACAGCCGAGCTTCTGCTGCCGCTACCACTAATAAGATGGTGTCTCGTCCCTTCAGTTGCTGGGCATATGCACAAGTTTCTGCAGCTGTTGCTTATGCCCAAAACAGCACCTCCCCTGTCCCTGGTTGCTGGGTGCCATTGCAGAGGGCAGGGGAGGGATGGGAAGAGAGAAATGTGCCCCTTTTTTTCCGCTGGGTCAGTGGGTACCCTGTCCCCCTTAGGGCTCTAGGACAGTCTCATGTGACACTCTCCCTCTGACTGTGTCACCAGTGGCACTGGCTGCTGCAGTCTGATCTCACCTCACTCTGCAAAGATGGCACGTTGCTGGCGCTTAGCTGCTTCGGTCTTGTGTCTGTGCTTATGCTACGCATCTGTATCCTCCACACCAATCCACGCTGTTCCTCTTTCTTCCTGTAGAATTTCCACTGCCATTTTCTCTCTTTCCTGAGAATATACTTCATCCACTTTTTTTTTTTTTTTTTAAACTTACCCCTAGCCTAGAGCAGTATGCCCTGCCCTATTCCTCTGTCTTGGAATCCTCCTAATCTATACTAGCTCCGTTTGTTGTCGCTCCCCGTCTTCGTGGAGGAACGACACAGGACCCTGCGCTGTTCTTTTGTCTGCTCGGCCCTCCCCGGGTTTGCTGCTGGTTCTTCCCTGGTTGGCAACCATCCCTTCCACCTCCGTGGAAGGGCGGTTCCCCCTGCCACATTCCCCACTTCCGCGGGGGAGCGGCACACCGCCGGCCGGCTCTCTCGGGGGCTGCACAGGTGTTCCTCTTAGATGTTCCTGGTGCATGTTGTCTCTCTCCTCCTTTATAGTCCTCCTCCGCCAATCCTAACTCGGCTGCCCACA